CAGTTTACTCCTTGCGCTCTAGCTTTTACATGCTAGGAAACCTTAAATAAAAGAAATCAATAACAATTCTTCCTTGTAAACACCCAACAAGACAAATTTTTAGAAATAAGGATAACATTTGAAAAATTAAGAGAATAAGTCCTAGGTTATTGTAGCCTTCACAGTATTACTTTCTTTTTCAATCTCAAGTTTTGAAAATGCACATCTTGTTCAAGGCTTTCCAAGGAACTGCTCCAAATATTTTACTTTTTCAGGTGAGAAATGAGTAGAAAATTTGGCTAATGAAAGTATTTCTTTTCTGCCTTATTTAAACTCCATTTCCATTACCAGTGTCATAATTCAGTGCTCCATCAATTTTCACTGACATTTCTAACGACATCGTTGTTGGGAAATAATTGTAAAGCATTTTCGAAATCTCTCTATATCTAGCGGACAGTATAATCAAAATACGCTATCCAATTCTTGTAAATGTACGTCCACAGAAGATGCAATTTTTATTTCTAATTTTATATTACATTTTCTAGAGTTTACTAAGTTTTAAGAATGATTTCCACCATATATTTCAGGATTAAAGGACGGGATTCCTTTTGAATCTTTTAGAAATGCTGTTTTAGCTCTCCGTATTTTTCGACATATTGGAGATGTTTCCATGGGATTGGCATTGGAAGCGATTGTGGCCATCGAAGAGAAGACTCTGTTGGCTGCTCACATCGCTATGCTTCTGGGAAGACATGATCAAGCTGAGCAGTTGTTCCTGAAGAGTTCACAGCCGAAAGAGGCTTTGGCGGTTGGTTTATGCAAAAAAAATTGTCTGAAAATTGAGAGGGAAAAATAAAAAGAATGTCTACTGCAAAAGTTGGAAAGTTTACAAGTAGATATTTTGCAATGGGAGGACATAGATGGCAAAAGCACATAACCTTTCAGTGATAACTTCTTTACTTCATATATAGTAAAAGTTGTCGTTTAAGAAATCTTTTGGAAGTTAATTTGTGTGGAAACTACAAACACCACTATAACCAACCATCCGTTTTTGGATAGGTTCAAGCTCTAAGGCAGTGGTAAAAGAAAAAGAGGAATCTTTCTTATTTTCGTTCCGCTCCTTCTATTGTACCGCGATAAGATAAATGGAAGACTTCCTCTTTGCCCAACAGTACGGAGGGAAAATCGTATAGGTATTGTAAAAAAGGAAAAAGCAGCCTTACCTATTTTTATTTAATCTTTCTACTCAAATGGATGCAGATGAAATTTTTTTCTAAATTGAAAATTTTTTGAATCTCAGCACTAACTCTTCCAATTAACATATACAAATCATTACGCTTATTTTAGATGCGTCGAGACCTATTAGATTGGTCGAAGGCTCTGGCATTGGCTGAACAGTTGGCACCCAATGAGATCCCTTATATATCAAGAGAGTACGCCCAACAGTTAGAATTCATGTGAGTTCTTCATTTTTTTAGCCATTGCCAGTCAATTTTTAAATGTCGTCATATATTTCTAAGGGGAGACTACCCTGGTGCACTTGCACACTATGAAAATGGTATTATTGAGGATTACGAGGAGGAGACGGAGCAGGTGAGCCATAAAGTTTCTCTTTTGAAAGAGCAGTAATATAGACATCTGGCCTTGCGAATACAAACTTATAAGATATTGAAATTTGGTAGGTTTTTAATTCCCAACTGGCAACTACTATTTTCAAGAAATTGTTGAACAGTTACGATTTTACATAGCTTTAGACTTATTTTTGTTTGTTTTTTTGTATCCTTTAAGATTTTCAAAGAGGGTCTAAGGGTTTCGTCTTATACCCTCGTTGAAAATCTTGCGGATT